TGACAAAGAATCATATTTCTTTAACTATTTATCTTACAAGATTTTTTCTATCAAAAGCTATATATTTGAATTTTTTTAAATTTCAATTCTTCAGAATGGTCTTCCAAACGAAAATATGTTTGTCCTAACTTTGTTTCAATCCTTTCAACTTTATTTTTTGTAGGCGTCCAATTGCTACTCCTTTCTTTTTCAGTCATTGCTTTCTTTGTGTAAATCTTGACTTCGTCGCCTATGTTAGTTTCAAGATATTTACGGGTTCTAGTCGCTTCGGTTGCCATTTTTGTTCTCAATTTATAATGGTGTTTCTCCTTCAATGCCTCCGCTGGGGTCATTCCTATACTTGAATGTATCATTTTGTTGTTGTAGGTTACTAATATTTCAAGATTATAATCTATCCACTGTATATGTGCCTTTCCTTTCTTTTCATCTGCTTCAACCCTTTTATATAACATATCCTTATAGGTTCTAATGAAACGATTTGCAAAATTAGGATGTCCTCTTGTTCTGTAGAACTCTTTTCCTTCTTCTTTGAAATAATCTTCAACGGTTTTATCATATAAACTGCCTTCCTCATCACTGTAAATCATTTCTGGTTTTCCTTCCATTTTCTGTAGTCCCTCCATTACTCCCGCTAATATGTCTAGTGGTTGTTTCGATTTAATAGGTATTACTGTAGGGTATCTGGTCAATATATCAGGTAAAACCATTCCTACTATAAATTTTTGATTAGGTAGGTCATTTATAAAAACACAAATCTAGTTGAAATTCAAAATACGGATGTGGGGCGATAAAATGAATTCCTGCCTCGTAGTTGCTTTTTTGTTCTACATTTTTCTTGAAAAACTCCTCTACGTCCTTCATTGTTATACTTTGGTCTTTCTTTTTGCTGTCCGTTAGAGCGGTTGCTTCGCTTCCAAATCCTGACTTATCAACATATATTTTTAAATTATCATTTTTTATGAATATTGCCATATTAATAAAGGTGATATTTAATATTTTATCTACTCAACGCGTATTATTTTATATGATTGTTCCTTGTATTTTCTTTGCTTTGGATTCTGTAAATCTTCTGTTTTATTTTCAAAATCAATAGCTTTTAACTTTATCTCCGTTTTCTGCTATCTTGTTCAATTTCTTTCTCCTATTATATCTGATAGCACTTGCTCTCTTGGTTCCATAAAGCCTTTTGCTACTCGTCTCTTTTGATAATATAATCTATTATATAGTGCCAGTTGTCCCTTGATTTGTTCTAATTGCATATCTTCAGGCCGCATAGACAAGGTTTTAAAACTACATATTCTTATTTATTTGACTTCATTTTCCAAATATTCTACACGATGGATTAGTTTTGATAAAGCATCACAACCAGTACACGCCATTCTGTCATAACACATTGTTAAGTATTCTCCTGTATCATTTACAATATTATATTTAAATTTGTGTTTTGTTGAACATCTTGAGAAATCCATCCTAACTCAGCTTTTCTTGTTTTTTGATTTTTCACAAATGTTTTAATCTTAATGTATTTTACAATATTTATAGCGTCATCTTCTACATCTTCTATATTATCTTTCAGTCTCTTATCACTACTTAAATTAAATCCATTAAATGATGAAAATTGAAAGGTTAATTCCCCACAAATCTTTGTCGGTTTTTCGGTTGCAGGCATCACACTGGCATGTTCAAGACCGCATGTTGCCTGGGAACCGCATGATGAACTCCCTTTTCAAAAGCCGACGGGGGAAGAGAGTCCAAGTGAGGCAGCCAGACAGTGAAGAAAGGACCCAGCGCCAAGTGTGTGTAGAAGCAATGCGAGACGCCAGCCAAACGCAGCAAGATGATGAAGGCAAACGCTAGACGAACGTCTTCTGACACCATGGCTTGCAAGCACAAGAAGCTACAGCAAAACAAGACAGCTCAGCACACTAACAAAGAACGCCACACACCCCACAGAAACAGGAAACAAAGAAGTTCTTGTCAAGCAAACTCGAAGAAGCGACGTAACCACCCCCCCCCCCCCAATGTGTTGCTTTTGGTTACACCCATTGACCTTTGCACACACTCCGTTTGTATTTTGGCTCAAGGCCCTTCACGTCATTTGTGCAGTCATTCGACACATGGTACAGTGATAAAAAGGCTTGCAGACCGCTTCACAGGATTCACAGTCAACACAAGCCGCCAAAAACAATCCAGCCTCCAATCCTCCATATTGGCATATTGGACTCTCTCCGGAATAGATCCAGGGACCAAATCAAGAGCAGAGAACTTGCTAGGATCACCTGGCGCCGTGCGCAGCTTTGCCTCCACTACGATTTGAACATTGATTCCGACCCGTTCAAGCAAAAGGTTTCGGTGTCTGCGTGCGTGGCGAACTCCCCAGCAACATTACGGAATGGAGGCTCTGGTGCTCAATTTGGTGATTGCAACAAGGACGCACGGTCATGGCCACGTTCGACACATGTTCGGTGGCTGTACAATCTAACAAGAGTTGCTAACGCCGCCGCCGTGTTTGATGGTTTCTTTTTTGGGGTCCCATCAACAAGGGCCACAGTCAAGCAGGCGTGCTTATCATCTTGTTGCATCGTAAGGGGGGGTCCGAGCTCCAAGGTTTTTTCTGACCGGTTTCCAGAAAGGTCCTGGAAGTAAAGCCTGGGTGAGTCGGGTCCCCAGCTAAACCATTAGCTCGTAAGAGTTGCTCGCATCGTCCCTGCACTTGTCGAGCTCTCCTCGAAAAACTTGGTTGATGCCTGGGAGCCTTTTCCTGGCAACCTACTTTGCTGACCTTGACAACTTGGAAACAGTTCACGAGCCCGGCCAGTTGATTGCAGTTGAGTGAACGCAAGGCCCGGAAGTTGTTGCCAGCGGCACGTTGGAATGACGGCCGCCGGTCGTTCACCACACATGTGAACACCAATCTGCGAATCATAAGCACCAACTCCAAGATGAAACCGGCCAAGCTGGTGGTGTCCACTGCGCAGCCAGCATTGGTACGTTGGCCATCTTGGGAGCACGCGGCGCGCTGGACACGACAGAGATGAAGGCCCTGGGTGACCAAGCTTCTGCCGGCTCAAACACTGAGGATTTTCTGGAGCTGTGCCGGGTGACAGAGGTGCGCGCCAAACGAGTACCTTTGCGGACGCTTGCCAATTTGGCGCGGCGTGTGTCTGCGTTGCTAGGCGAGGATGTCCCGGCCGTAAGACGACAAGGCGCAGTCTGAAAGTTTATGCAAGTGCTCTCTTGCTTGGCTTGTGGCAAGACAGTTAGCTGAGCTCGAGAAGAAGATAGCAACCAGAAGTGGCATGTGTCCAGTCTCAGCCGCAAGCTGTTGAGACTGATGCGCAAGTTTCAGCAGAGTAGCGAGACGGCCACCAAATGCTGCGGCGATCAAAAATGCATTGAGTGTCCGTACTACGAAAGTTCCTTCGAAACTTCCTTTGGTTAATGCCAGGTGTTAGGTTGATTCACCCCGAATCTTCGGGGCTTTCACTCTCGAACATGCCATTGACATGGCATTTTCCCCCTCGAAGATGAAACATAAAAAACAACATCGATGCTTTTACCCGGCGTCAGGGAGATGGATGGACCCTTGTAACTATGTGTTGCTCACATTATCTACTCAATTTCGCACCTTACACGCAGGAGACAAGCCTTTTTGGGGTTATACAGACCTGTCATGTTTTTTGCTGTTTGGGGTCGAGGCTGTTATAATTTTTCTTTTCATTTACTGCTGTTTGTTTGCTATTGTTGGTTGGTTGTGTTTTGTTTGTGTCTGTGTAGGTTGTCCGTTACTGTTACTGTGTTGTGTTGGTTGTTGCGTTGTTGCTCGTGTTATGTTTGTGTTGTTTGTTGTGAGTTTGTTGCTTGTTTCTGTTGGTTTGTGTTGCTTTTTTCTGGGGGCCTTACGATCTGTTCACCTACGATCTGTTCCCCACCTTTGTCTGGATGACTGGGGAATTACCTGAAGTTGTTTCGGGCGGAGAGCTGACAAGATGCAGGGGGAAGGGGACACGGCTTCTGACTTCTGCAACCGGTGGACCTGGGGTCGGTGTGGGTTCACATGGCTTCACTTCCCGACACAGGTCATCATCCTCATCTTGCTGGAAATCGAATCACCCGCTGCCCAGTACTCCTTTTGGGTTTGTAGCCAACTTGCGCTCACGGGCGCCTTGGACAGGCGTGTAGGGCCTCGTCCAGAGCGCTGCGTCTCCTCTTGCCTGTTCACTCTGGGCCTCCGTGAGCACAAATTCACACGTTTTGAAGCGTCGCTGTTTGCTGTTGCCCGGTTTGCTCGCACGTCTGGACATCCATCTCCACACCTTGGGATCAAGGTCTCCCGTTCTCCAGCCCGTAAACGCGGGTGTCATGCTCCGCTCAATCTCACAACTTCCTGGCCGAAAGGGAACCGCCGGCTTTTTCGACCCGCGGGGTTAGATTGACGGGCGACCCACGCCGTCAGCTCTCACCCGCCTGCTGCGCCATGCCACTGTCACAATGGTCCTGCAATTTCGTGCGGGCGATTTAGTTACATTGGTCCGGGTCTTAGTGGTAGCAGGGGATTCGCAGTCTTGGTGCTTCACGGACTTTGCAACGTGTTTTGCTTCGCGAATTGTCGGGTGTTTTGTTTGAATAATATGTTATCGCGTGGGTTGTTCTTGATGCAATGAAGATCACAGCACAGAGCCTGTAGTAATTAAAAGTCACCCTCAAGCACTAAGCGCGGCAGCAATCGCTCTGCTGCACAAAGCTCCGGGCCCCATGCGACAATCTATACACATTCCTTATCGAGCGCTGACACGTGTGCCAAACTCCTCTGTCAGCGCAACACCCGGGCAGCTTTCTGTTTTACCAGCGCAGCCATTTTGCGCGCTGGATGATGGAAGCTGGTGCCGCCGAACTTTAAGATTTCCGCGGCTGCATCGCATGTATTTCATTACAGCTTTCATGTGTGACACGTGACAACTTGTGTTGTAAATTTTGGCGGCCCGTGTAGCCAGCTGAAGGCCATGATCTATGCTCGCACCGGACGTGACAACCAGCTGGAGGCGCCTTTACGCTTGCGTCGCAGCACTTTCAACAACAGAGTTGGCGCACAGGCCTTGCGCGAATTAGTAGCATTGGGCGGCTTCTCAGGCAGGGCTCAACGGATTGCCCCGCACTGTTAGAACAGCATGTTGCTTCTGCGATGAGGAGTGAGGCTTCATCCGCTACGAGACCTTGTCCGATGTTTAGGTTTGCACCTTCTCAGCCCTTCCTTAGCACAGGCCGGTGCCGAGCCACCGAGCGTTATCTGGCAATCTTAATAGCCATTTGTCATTTGTCAGCTCACGCTTGCTGGTTTCCGCGCATTTGTGGTGGTTTTGATTGTGTTTTCAAGCAGCTGACAGGCGGAGGCGTGGGAATCCTTGACAGCCGAGGGCGTTGCTGAGTTCCCCCACATTGTTGCCTTCTTGGACGGGGCGCAGGCCGGAGAGTGGTTTCAGTAAATTGCAGCCGTTGACCAATCAGCTTCGGGCTGCTTACCAGGCGCTCCCGGGCATCTTGGAGCGAGCTTGGCCAAGCGCTCAGCGCTGCACGCGTCTCAAGCAGCACAGACAGGTGAGAAGTGGATTGAGTTGATGGTTGCAGTACCTAGGCCAATCACGTCTAGGTTGCAGGCAAGATCCCGCCTATTGTAAGCGCCGGTTGCGGGAGCCGCTGCTGTTGTCTCGGGGGCAGGTTTCCGCTGTTCCTCAGCGCTCTTGCGCAGATGGTGAGCTTGCATTGATTTTCCAAGGCCGGAAGAGTGCAGGGAGTGACTAAGGTGTTCGCATCGCGACAGCAAGGTCTTTAGGGCAATGTTGTTGTTGTTGTTGTTGTTGTTGTTGTTGTTGTTGTTGTTGTTGTTGTTGTTGTTGTTGTTGTTGTTGTTGTTGTTGTGGTCGTCGTCGTTGTGGTCGGTGTTGTTGTCGTTGTCGTGGTCGTTGTCGTTGTCTTCATCGTCATCGTGGTCGTCGTCGTCGTCGTCGTCGTCGTCGTCGTCGTTGTTGTTGTTGTTGTTGTTGTTGTTGTTGTTGTTGTTGTTGTTGTTGTTGTTGTTGTGGTTGTTGTGGTTGTGGTTGTGGTGGTGGTGGTGGTTGGTTGTTGGTTGGGGGTTGTTGGTTGTTGGTTGTTGTTGGCTCCGACGGAACGTAAACGAACAAACTTGGCACTTTTCAGCACATTCATCTCGTATGGCAGGCGCATCATTTCGTGCATAAATGGTAAGACCACCCGCTCAAGCGCGCCCGCTCAGCACTGGACAAGCGCTGGACACATGCCTGCCAAACGGGAAGAATACCGCTCACGCGCACACATGCCTGCCAAATGGTAACACCCGCCCAGCTCTGCGCATATACGTGCCAAGCGGTACCTGCCTGTCATGGTAAGAACACCGGCTCAAGTGCACCCGCTCAGCACTGGGCTGCCAAATGGTAAGGCACCCGCTCCGCACTGGAAGACCGCCTGCTCAAGCGCACCCGCTCAGCACTGGACACCTGCCTGCCGATAAGAACACCACCCGCTCAGCACTGGACACCTGCCTGCCAAATGGAAATGATAAGACCACCCACTCAAGTACACTAGCTCTGCATGGGAAGAAAAGCTCAAGTGCGCCCACTCACTTGCCAAATGGTAAGAACACCCGCTCAAGTGCACCCGCTCAGATCTGCACACATGCCTGCCAAACACACGTGCGCCCGCTCAGTACTGGACACATGCCTGCCAAATTTCAAGAACACCCACTCAGCCACTCTCAGTGCTGGATGCCAAATGGCAAGAACTCCGTCTCAAGTCGCACCCGCTCAGCACTGACACCTTCAAGTGCACCCGCTCAGCACTGGTACCGTTTGGTAAGAACACCCGCTCAGCACTGGACACGTGCCTGCCAAAGGGTAACGACACCCACTCAAGTGCACCCGCTCAGCTCTGTACGCATGCCTGCCAAATGGTAAGAACATCTACTCAAGCGCGCCCGTTCACACCTGACTTCCAAACCCGCTCAAGTGCACACCTGCCTTTTAGTGGCTTGTTCCGCTTTTTTCTTTTATGCATATTTGCCTAGGCGAAAACACTGGAAACATTTTCGCCGAGGCGAAACGCTGGAAAAAGTGACGGCGAAGGGTTGTAGCTTCATTCATGTTTGGCCCTGCCTTTGCATTGAAGGCTCCGAAATCACAGTTTTTCAATGTGTCGGGTGGTTGCTCTTTTTGCGTCTGGCTGTTGCGCTCGTTCACAAGCCGTTGAGCCGTTGAGGCGTTGTTGTTGTTGCTGTTGCTGTTGCTGTTACTGTTGGTGCTGGTGCTGCTGGTGCTGTTGTTGTTGTTGTTGTTGTTGCTGGTGCTGGTGCTGCTGCTGCTGCTGTTGTTGTGGTTGTGGTTGTGGTTGTGGTTGTTGGTGGTTGTTTGTTGCTTGTTGCTTGTTGCTTGTTGCTTGTTGCTTGTTGCTTGTTGGTTGTTTGTTTCTTGTTGCTTGTTGCTTGTTGTTTTTTGCTTGTTGCTTGTTGCTTTTTCTTGTTGCTTGTTGCTTGTTGCTTGTTGCTTGTTGTTGGTTCTTGGTTCTTGATTCTTGGCACTTGGTACTTGGTTCTTGGTTCCTGGTTCCTGGTTTTTGGTTCTGGTTCTGGTTGGTTGTTGGTTGTTGGTTGTTTGTGGTTGTGGTTGTGGTTGCGGTCGTCGTTGTTGTTGTTGGCTCGGACGTGACGAAAACGCGTGTTTTCGTCACTTTTGAGCCATGCTTTTCGCGTGGCCTGCGTGGGAGATTCAGCAATTCCCAGCCAAAAACGCTGTTTCGACTGCACGAGCGCGTCGTTTCCCGAAAACAGGCTGCGCCCCGTTTTCGCAACCATGGGTGGATGCTTTTCGCGTGGCCTGCGTGGGAGATTCAGCAATCTGCAGCAACACGCAATTTCACTGCACTTGCGCAGTGTTTCGTAAGTCGGGTCGTGTTTCCGCGGGTGAAACCCTAAACCCTACACGTCAAGCCCTAAACCCTCAAACCCGAAGAAACGACGTGAACCTTGAAACGACATGAACGTTGCTGCTTTGAAAAGGGCCAATGTCGGAGTGGCCAAATGGTAAGCACACCCGTTCAACTGAGTCCGTGCAGCGCTGCCCACATGCCTGCCAAATGGTAAGCGCACCCGTTCAAATGAGTCCGTGCAGCACTGCACACATGCCTGCCAAATGGTAAGCGCACCCGTTCAACTGAGTCCGTGCAGCACTGCACACATGCTTGCCAAACGGTTATAAGCACATCCGTTCAACTGAGTCCGTGGCCTGCCACACCCGTTCAACTGAGTCCGTGCAGCACTGCACACATGCCTGCCAAATGGAAAGCACACCTGTTCAACTGAGTCCGTGCAGCACGGCACTGCACACATGCCTGCCAATGGTTTGCACACCCGTTCAACTGAGTCTGTGCTGCACTGCGCACATGCCTGCCAAACGGTAAGCACACCCGTTCAACTGAGTCCGTGCAGCACTGCACATGCCTGCCAAATGGTAAGCGCTTGCCTGCGTGTGGCTGTTTGTGTTGCCGTGGGTTCTGTTTGTACTGTCTGTGGCCGGTGCCGTTTGTTAGTTCTTGTTGAAGGTGTTGTTGCTGTTTCTGTTGCTGTTGGAATGTACCTAATGCCCGGGGTGCCAGAATGCTGGCCTGCGCAGTACGAAATAGGGTTCGTGCTCCTGGACAGGACGCCTTTGACAACTTAAAAAAATTGCCACGCTGAAAACTGCTGGCCCTGCCAAGGAAAACACAGATTTTTTGATGAAGCTTAAATGCTGGTGCTCGTGAAGGTTGCTGTTGAAAATTGGCCGTAGGGGTAAAACAAGATATTTTGCCCAGGTGGGTCGGTGCTGCCCTGCGCAGTACGAAATAAGGTTCGTGCTCCTGAGCAGGATGCTCTTTTCCGTGACCACGCAAAACATGAACTATTCAATTTTGCTGGCGCTGCCAACGAAAGCATACATTTTCGGATGAACTGTGTTTGCCGGCGCGCGTTAACGCCACGTCCGGCCGTTGTTGTTGTTGTTGTTGTTGTTGTTGTTGTTGTTGCTGCTGCTGCTGTTGTTGTTGTTGTTGTTGTTGTTGTTGTTGTTGTTGTTGTTGTTGTTGTTGTTGTTGTTGTTGTTGTTGTTGTTGTTGTTGTTGTTGTTGTTGTTGTTGTTGTTGTTGTTGTTGTTGTTGTTGTTGTTGTTGTTGTTGTTGTTGTTGTTGTTGTTGTTGTTGTTGTTGTTGTTGTTGTTGTTGTTGTTGTTGTTTTAGAGGTCGTTGTGGTTGTTGTTGTCGTTGTCGTTGTTCCCAATCGGGCCGTTCGCCTCCGTGGAAGGTTCGCCGCTTTCAATGAGTGCTTCATGTTAGAGCTGTGTCCGCCATGACCATTGTTAAGCACGCACGCCCACGCGCACTTATGTCAGAGCTGTATCCACCATGACCACTGTTAAGCAGACACGTCCACGCGCACTCATGTCAGAGCTTTGTCCACCATGACCATTGTTAAGCATCCATGTCAGAGCTGTGTCCGCCATGAGCATTGTTAAGCACACGTCCACGCGCACTGTTGTCAGAGCTGTACCCACCATGACCGCTGTGAAGCACACACGTCCACACGCGCTTTTGAGCTGTATCCACCATGACCATCGTTAGAGCTGCGCAACCAGCATCCGGGTATCCGATTCGACTGCCACTTGGACTGAAATCTCCCAGGATCCAAGATGATCCCGATGTGGTCAAGGCATAGGGGCAAGTGACACTCCTCCATAACCATCAACATCCTCACAATGAACCATGGGAACCTCACGAGGAATCCTAAGTTGGACGGCAGAGAGTTGAAAGGCATGCCCATGAGAGACAGACCGATCACACGAATGTTGCTGCGCAACAGTGCTCACATCACACGCCCCAACGAAGCGGACGCATTTCTCGATTTCCAAGACGAAAATGCAAGGATCAAATCCTGGTCTGCAAAACCCATCGCATGATTGGTCCGTGGCAATGTGGCAAGATACATCCCGACCAGACCCCCAAACTTGGGCACTACGTTCGGAAGGTTCAGATGTTTCTTCGGCACCGAGATCTGTTGCATAGATCCCGAGTATGACACGCCAACCTTCTTCTGCCTCACACGACAAAGGAGAACCTCAAGGACTATGTCGGCTCGAGATTGCCACCACGCACTGGATCTTGGGCACATACTGTTGCAGATCTTCTTTGTCCAGGTTCTTCTTCATGATCCAGTAATTGGTCTGCAGTTCCTGTCCTATGGAATCGTATGCCGCAATGATGTTTTGCGGCCCGATAGTATCTTCGGATAACGCAGTGCGTTCCTCGGTCAGCCTGAAGCCTTGGTGGTTGTTGTTGTTGTTGAGGAAGGCAAGCATGAGTAGGGCATCTGGTCCTCCAGGTACATGCGTCAAAGCTGCCTTGGATGGCTGATCGGATCTTCCTCATTCATCTGCTCCATGGGGATGTCATCTAGTGCTTCTTGTTCATCATGGACAGGAAAATTCCTCAGTGGTGATGTCATTATGTTGACGCAGGCTTGGATTCGGAGGAGCCAGTCCGAAAATATTGCTGAGAAATTGCAAACGTTCTGGTGAACATTGGTGTACCAACCGTGCTTGTCATCATGCTTCCATTGGATGCGTTGTCCCGCGAAAAGGCAATCATTCTTATCTTTACGAAGTCGTCCCATGATCTCCTTCTCAAACACATCAGCACCGGTCAGAAGAAGATCATCAACATGAAGAGATAGAGCTC